CTGGGACTGCCCTGTGCCCCTCTGCTGTGCCCAGTGACACCCCCTGGGACTGCCCTCTGCCCGTGCCCTGCCAGCCCACCCCAACGCCAACTCTCTCCTTGCCAACACAGCATCACAGAAATGGTTGAAAGAGCCCCCTCCCCTGAAGCAGTAGGGGAAATCCTATCCCAGAAGGGAGAAAGAACCAAGCACAGAGCTCACTGTGTGCCCACAGCATGAGCAGCCACAGGAAAAGAGATTTCCTGATCCAAAGCCATGGCTGAGAGCAGCCAGTGGCAGGAGCCTCAGCCATGGGACAGGGGGGCCATAACCTTGATGCCACAGTCCAGGGCTCTGCTTGCTGCTGGCAGGTGGCCATGGGAGCCTTTTCTGCTGGGCTGGTGGGAGGAGGTGTAATCACAGCATTCCTGGGCCATCCCCACGGCATCCCAAAGGCATTCCTGGGACATCCCCACAGCCCCCCCAGTGGCATCCCAGCCAGGTCCCACCTGCTCTGGACAGGTTCCCCCAACTGGATGGGTCCCCACCACCACTCCAGCACTGCCCCAAAGCTTTAGGTTGATTTTTTAGGGCTGTTTCAGATCTGACAGACGTGACCAAGTGCAGTCTCAATGCTTGGCCAGGTAAGAGATGCATGGCAGCAGTTCAGCTCTTTGTCCTGACAGTTATTTGGAATCAGCCAAGACAATATGAAAATAAGTATTGCACCATCCTTAATAGACATTCAAAATCCGAGAGCTGTACTTCCCTAAATTTATATGTGAATAAACAAACAGAATTTCCATCTCAAGCCAGCACTTTCTGAATCACAATGAGAACTAACAAACACTGACTTACACACACCCACCCACACACACACACACTCTTGACAGGAGGAAAATGTTGGTATCTCTGAAGATAAATATCTGGAAGGAACAAATCTTTTAATTAGAAGCTCTGCTGCTTAATTGTTATTAAAAGCAGGGAATAAAGCTGGTTAAAAAATGGTCTGGTCTGGGTAAAAGAGTCCAAATTGGAAAAGTGCTCCACCACTGCAGAGTATTAAAATAATCTGACACACACCCTGTGCACCACAGGTAAGACATCCCACCAAAGTGATTGCACAAACCCAGCTGTGGCTTCAGTCAGAAAGACAGCCCATGGGAGTTCTGTCTTTCCCACTAACACATGTTTGGGAAGGGAATGGCACTGAGGAACAACCTCTATCAGTCTGACCCCCCCTGCTCACCATGGTGATCCCGGCACAGGGGTGGAGGCCACGGGCTTGTTGCCGTTGGCTGTGCTGTCACCCTCAGCCACCAGTTTAAAGGAATGACCCTGGAAAGGCAGACAGAGATGAGTTAACAAATAAAGCCCATGCTTTATTTGTACTGTTATTGCCGTACAAATCACCCCTTTAACCTGGAGTGGATTCCCCTTCGGGCCATTATCCCATGAGTGGCTTTATGAACAACCAGCTGCCTCGGGAATAGCCCAGATAAACGGGAATGATAAAAATGTCACCCCACTTGCAGCAGTATAAATGAAAAAGCAGCCAATGTGCTCGTGTCCATGCCAATGGCTCCCTTGGGAGAGCAGGGATTACTCTGTGTATGGCACTAACCAGGAAAGAATGAGCCCAGGGAGCAGTAGGTGCCTCAAAGGGCCCAGCTCCTCACGGCCATCATACTGGTCCTGCTCCCTGACTTCCAAAAGGCAAAACAACACAGGGTGGAGGTGACCCAGCTGCACTCTTGCCCCCATAAAATGGCACAGAAATATTTGGAGCTGCTGGAGTGAGTCCAGAGGAGGCCACATGGATGCTCCAAGGGCTGGAGCCCCTCTGCTCTGGAGACAGGATGGCAGAGCTGGGGGTGTTCACCTGGACAAGAGAAGGCTCCAGGGAGACCTGAGAGCCCCTTCCAGTGCCTAAAGGGGCTCCAGGAGAGCTGGAGAGGGACTTGGGACAAGGGATGGAGGGACAGGACAAGGGGGAATGGCTTCCCACTGCCAGAGGGCAGAGTTAGATGGGATATGGGGAAGAAATCCTTCCCTGTGAGGGTAGTGAGGCCCTGGCACAGGTTGCCCAGAGAAGCTGTGGCTGCTCCATCCCTGGAAATGTCCTAGGCCAGGTTGCACTGGGCTTGGAGCAACCTGGTGTAGTGGAAGGTGTCCCTGCCCATGGCAGGAGATGGAACGAGATGACCTTTAAGGTCCCTTCCAACACAAACCATTCTGGGATTTCATGGGGAGCAAACCAGCTGCAAGGGTCCCTTCCCTAACACTCTGACACTCAGTGACAGAGCTCCTACAAAACATCAAGGTAAATTAAGTCCATGGCTCTTTAAAATTAGCTGCAGGAAATGATTGTGTGTCACCAGCACAGCCCCACACCCTGACTCCAATTTGTGCAGTTCAATGGTTTAAAGAGCTTTTTAAGAAGCTCCAGCACAGACCTTGTTGCCGTCGCTGTCCACAGGGACACTCTTCCTGTCCGTGTGCAGGATCAGAGTCGGGGGGCAGGAGGATCTGCTCGATTCTTTGCCATGATCTGTGGGGAGAAAGCAATTTTTTTAATGTCAAATAAACTTGCAACAAGCCAAAACTAATAAACAGAAACCAAACCACTCCCTACAGCTCTGAACCCCCTCTCTCCACCTCTTCCTTCTCACTCAGCTCTTTATTCACTCACATACCTTCCAAATACCACCTTTTAATGAGAATCGTTCACAGACCTTAGAAGGAGGCTTTTATTGCATTGAGCTTTGTGTCCTGCTCTCCCTGAACCCACAATCTTTTCTCATGGGATATCCTGAGGGACATGGCTTAGTGGGGGACTTGGTGGTGCTTGGCTAAGTGTTGGACTCAATCTCAGAGGATTTTTCCAGCAGAAATAATTCCCTGATTCTATGATCCTCTTCTCTGTGGGGACCACGGCCCCCCTGGGAACAGTAGCCCTCTCCCCCGTGGGGTTTGGTGCTGGCCACCCCCTCTCCTCCTAGCCCAGAGATCCTGCTGTGATCTTCCTGTGCTCTGGGATAACCTCCGTAGGAACCACCAACAAGTGCTGGATTGCATTTCCACTGGAAGCAATACAAGAACACTTTTCTCTCCTTTCCAGACTCCCGTCTCCATCCTGAAATCCTAAACACCAGTAGTTTCTGCTGCTACGAAATATCTCCAGAACAGAGAGGCCTTAAGGGACCCCAGGGAAAGGCAAAAAGGCAGCAGGTGTGAGACACAGACCCAAACATCAGAAAAAAAGGAGTTTTTGCAGTAAGACATATTAAGAAATACGTTATTTTCTTAATTGTGGAGGGCTTTTTGTCTTCTCGTCCTCTTAAAACACATATTTAACTCTGCTTCACTTGGAATATTTCAGAATAATAAAAAATTAAATCCATGTCATTTTGCTCAGAAGATGACTTACTCAGTTTTTATGGGTAGAGAAAGAGAAGATTTACAAACCAGATCAATTAATTTCCACATTAAAGGAGCCAGGAGTAGGGAGCAGCTAATACATATCAAAGAGGGCTCTAAATTCATCTTCCTTCCCTCAGTATCTGGTAATCAGGAATCAAAGCTTTACCAGGAACACTGGTCTTTGAACACAGTGAAGTCACACCCAGTCAATGTCCACCTCTACCTTCTCCTGCCTGGCCTCTGGAAAGGGGAAGGACATTCCAGGAGTGTGCTCAGAAAGGTCTTGGACACTGGAGGGATAACCCGGGGACCTGTCCAACCTGGCCTTGGACACTTCCAGGAATGGGGCAGCCACAGCTTCTCTGGGCAACCTGTGCCAGGGCCTCACCACCCTCACAGGAAACATGTGAGTGTCAATTGGGAGATTTAAGCAAACTAAAATAGGAGAGAGACCCTAAACACACTCCAGGAGCTCTGGTTTGATGCGCAGGAAGGTACAACAGAGTGTAACTGCTTTTGTCTCTGCTTTCCCCGCCCTGCTCGTTAGTAAATGAAGCTGAGGATGAAGCCCAGAGCAGGGAGGGGCTGGTGTGGACAGCTCTCCCACACCAACAGCCACTCTCAGTCCTCTTTGAACCTCACACACCTTTCTGGAGGAGACACTGCAAACGCCTGAGGCAGTCTCTTGTTCAATCTCTTCTTCAATCTCTTTTTCCATCTCTTTTTTGCAGCTCTGAAAAGCTACCTCACAGCATCCCCAGAGCCCCAGGGACAGACTTGGGTGCTGCAGCTTTTGCTGCACACGTGGGTGAGCTTCTGCAGCAGGCAGCTCCTTAGGCATTCACGAGGGAAACACAACATTTGGGACAGTCAGCACCCAGAAAAGAAGATGGGAATAAAAAAAAAAGGAAAATAAAATAACAAATGAAAGTCCTGACAGTCCCTGTGCACTGCAGGAGTCATTTAGTTTTATGTCTACAGTTGAACACTGAATGTTTTTCCTAAGTATAATGTAAAGAGAAACATAATCCAAGATTGTGCCTCCCTTCTCAAGCTCAGGAATCCCCAGTGGGCTCAGGACAGGAGCACCAACCCCATGGGTTGTGCCATGGGGGGACCCCAAGCCCCCAAACATCACAGAGGTGGGGGAGGGTGGTCCATCCACTGCCCCACAAACCCTCTGTGTTTCCCATGGAAGACACCAAGCAAGCCCCTGTTAGGACTTTTTCCATCATTATAGATCTCCCCTCCTCTGCCCACGCTGGGGAAGAACATCCAGCACAGCCTGTGTTCACCCTCCACTGCCAACTGGAGAATGTCTTTCCTCAGCTTTACTCGTTTCTCATTAAATAATCTTTTTTTCCCCTCCTTTTTTACTTAAGTGCATAAACTAAACTGCTGCCTGACAATTCAGGCACCACAACATCTTTCCAACCCCTTTTTTTGCCCCTAAACCCAGCGGTGTGATCATCATCCCTTTGCTGTGCTGCTGCCCAAGGATGCGCTGCAGACAGAGGATGAAATACCTGATCAAAGAGGCTTCTCCTGCTCCACGGCAGGTACAGAGACATGAATAATTCACAGTGTGAAAAGGAAAGGTGAAGCAGCAAAACTACCTTGGGTAAATCACAGAGGATGTCGGTGTGTGATCATAAACAGCTGATTAAAAGCAGAATTAGAGAGGGAGGGGAAGAGGGAAGGTTGATTCATGGCACGAGGAGCTGTGGACAAGACATAATAAAATTTTGTTTTGCAAAAGTATGTAGAGGCCAAACCACCATTAATCTCAGAAGTAGTTTAAAGTTCTGATTCCAAATGCTTCTGAGAATTGGATTTACTTAAGTGCACACATGTGAATACTCTGGGTGTTATCATCCCCCAGCATCTCCACAGGTCAGTTCTGTCTCTCCTCATAACCCTATTGCTCTGCTTTTGAGATTGGCCTAAAACCCCTCCCTGACTGATTCCCAACTCCTCCTCTGCTGAGTTGAGTTTTCACTCAATCCCACTGTGGGATTTCAGTGCTGGCTACACCAGCCAGGTCCATGCCCTGCTCCCAGTGGCACTTCAACCTGTCACCACAGTTTCAGGGACAGATCCCACTCCAGCTCCTACCTGCACATGGTATTTTCCACTGTCACTGGTGTCTGTTTGATGCTCTCACCAGTTTTGCTGTGCCCTCCAAGCACTCCTTTCCCCTCTTAGAACAAGTCTACCTGAGCTGAGCTTTTCTCCATCCTCCAGCAGTTACTTCTCACCATCCCCTTTATTGTTCTGGAGATTTGTAATGGGAACAGTACAATAACAATGACAAATTATTTGTTGGTGCAGAGTTCAAGGACAAACTCATTGCATGGTTGGATTTTCCAGGCACAGAGCCAGCACTGCCCAAGAGGTGCTATTTGTCACTGCCCTGAAAATCATAAAATCACAGAGTGGTTTGGGTTGGGAGGGACCTCAAAACCCATCCAATCCCACCCCCTCCCATGGGCAGGGACACCCAACTCCACTAGCCCAGGTTGCTCCAAGCCCTGCCCAACCTGGCCTTGGACACTTCTAGGGATGGGGATTTACAATCTCTTTGGACAACAAAGTCTAATCTTTAGGGCTGAAGGATCAGATAAATTACTCCTGAACTGATCCCTAGAGTAATTCCTGATAAACACTCATTTTTTTCCATGGAACAGGGCTCGGAAGGTGCCTGCACAGCCCTGCAGTGCCATAAAGGTAGCAAGGGTGGCTGGATCCCCCTCTGTGGCCGCGTGGCCCCAGCTCAGGCAGAGGAATCACCTCTTCAACCCCATTGCAGCATCTCCCCTGCAGTAACAGAGCTCCTGCCTTCACACTGACAGCACCGCAAGAGCAATGTCCTGTTGTTAGGGGTGATATTCCCAATTTCCTGGCAAAATCTGACGGTGATTTGAGTGTACACAAATCTGAAAAAAGCCACGAGACTTCCTCTAGCCTTTGGAAACAGCACTGCCCCTTCTCTCACAACACACACACATTTAAATGGCAATAAATAAACCTGGTTTATCACACAGTGCATCACAAAAAGCCCTCGGAGGGTTTGGCCAACAAGGCCTTGTGGAGCAATTACCCCAAAGACAAGCACATTGTCACTGCAGGGCTGTGAAAACCACCAGTGCAGGACAGGGAAAGCCTAAGATGTGTCAGAGACCTGCCTTTTATATCATCAAATTCAAAGCTACAGCCAATTGCTGGAGTGAGAAAAGAGAACCCAAAACACACCGAGTACACCCCTAATTAACTAAAGCAAATGTCATCAAATTGGACGAGACTCATTGAGGGTCCCCATCCCCGTGCAGCACAGGAAGCACAGGTTGGTTGGGAGGACACAAATCCACAGCCTGTGCTTCAGTCATCATTCCAGGACACGGAAACACAACCCACCTGTCAGTGCCTGGTCCATGAGGTTGGTGGCCATGAACGTCACAGCCGGCGCGGACACTGCGGTGACACGGGTGACTTGAGTTGGCATCAAGGGACCCATGTGGGTATCCAGCCTGGAGCCAGAACCTGTGTGCAAACCATAAGGAAACCCATTTTCAACCTGTAAAAAAGAAGCCTTTAAAAAACTCAGCTTGTTTCCCAACTGTATTTCACAGAACATTTCTTTCAGCGCTTGAGGCCATGGGCTGGTGGTGAACATGGTGATGCTGCACTGAGGGTTGGACGTGGAGACCTCAGAGAGCTTTTCCAACTTTAATGACTTTATTATTAATCTCCTGCTAAACACTTCCCCCCAAAGCCACTTGCAAGTTTAAAACAAGAAGGTTTGTCTTTAGTTAAATTCCTGTTCCAGCCTGCCCACTAATTCTCAGAATTTTTGAAATTAAATGAAAGAAAACATGGCCCTCAAAATAAGAATTTGCATGGACAGATTAATGCCTTCAGAGCAGATTACAGTGAGACCAGTTTTCTTATTTTAAAGAACACACCTCTGGTTTCTACTGTTACTCTTCACAAACTCTTTGTGTCCCACTCTATCCATAGGAAATGATTTTGCCAATGATTTAAAACTGCAGCTTTATCCAGGGAACCACAGTCTGCTCAGACAGGGCCCAAAGCAGAAAATCACTGATGTGCTCATGTGGGAAAATCAGTAACCCAGGTTTGCTGCTAGAACTGTGCTAATTAAACCAGGCCACTCAGTCCTGGAGAATTCAGGGCTGTTGCCAAATTTAAGGTCAAACCTGGAGTATTAATTTTCCATTAATTATGCACAAAACCATTTTTCAGAAACTGAGAATCCCATGTAAGGCCCACACAACATCCTCTCCTCTCAGCTGTAAGTTCAGGTGTCCCATTAGAAGTTCCATGTTCTATTTACAAGCCACCATTTCCAAACTGACCTGTCAGTACAGACACATCCTTACTTTAGGCAGACTTTGGGAAGAATGTATTTCCCAAGCACAATCCAAGCTGCCAGATTTACTGACCCTTCATTTCACTAACTGTTCATGGGCTATCAAACAGTTCCCATCCCAACTTCTCTGAATTTAAGAATAATATGGATAATTTCTGAAACCTCCACTCATAAAAACTCACTCACACACTTTAAACCCCTTCTATGATTTGTGTTCCTACAATCCCAGGTGCCAAAGCACAGCATTAAACATAACTCTCACCAACACAGAACTATGGAATCCCAGAATGGTTTGTGTTGAAGGGGACCTTAGAGAGTTTCAAGCCCCTACCATGGGTAGGGACACCTCCTACTACCCCAGGTTGCTCCAAGCCCCGTCCAACCTGGCCTTGGACACTTCCAGGGTTGCTTCCACAGCTTCTCTGGGCAACCTGTGCCAGGGCCTCACCACCCTCCCAGGGGAGAGCTGAAGGACTTCCTTGGGATATGAGGAGATGAACTACCAGCTACAGGATAAATATCAGGAAATGAAACATTTCATTATTTCCCTTCTTTTTTTTCCCCAACATTAAGTCAGGATAAAGAAATCCCTGCAAGACACGATCGACAGCACAATAAAGAAATTCCTCTGCATGGTGCAGTGATAAATGGAATCCAGACTTGCTGGGAAGAAAGAATGATAAATAAAGCATTTAGGGAAGAGGAGCAGGTCAGTGGGATGTTTGTTGTGCTCCCTACAGCACCACAGCGTGACTGGAGGCACTTGTACCTCGGCCACCTCTAACAAGAACTGAACCATTTTCCAGCTTGAGCCCATGTTCAGACCTCAGGCAATGACAGTTCCTTAGTTCTGCTTCTGTCAAAGCCCCTGGCAAAACCATTACCTTTTATGAGCTCTCTGGATATCAAGGAATGCTGAGGAACCAGCAATTCCAACTCTGGAGTCGAAGGTGCCTCTAATTACACGGCACAACAGCAGATTCCCAACAGCCCCTCAGCAGAACACACACGTGAACACATGGAAATTCTGGTTTCCACATCCTTGGAGACCATTTCCATCTGTACCTTAGATGTACACTCCTACACAATTAATTCCAGGAATAATATTTTATAGAGCAAGAGGGTTTGGGGTTTCTTCAGCTTTTCAAATTAATTTTAATGACAACAAAAAGGAGACTTTAATCCTGTTGATTTCAGAAGTATCAGACAGATTAAAATGGAATTTCATCACCTTGTTCTGGTGGGGTTTGCGCACATGAACAACCTGTTATCTACAACAATATCCTTGGAAAAGGTTATGCAGCTGTGGCTGCCCCATCCCTGGAAGTGTCCAAGGCCAGGTTGGACGGGGCTTGGAGTAACTTGGGCTAGTGGAGGGTGTCCCTGCCCATGGCAGGGGGTGGCACTGAACGAGCTTTAAGGTCCCTTCCAGCCCAAACCAGTCTGGGATTCTATGAATTCTCTACACCCAAAACTGGAATAATTTTCATAACATGCATAATTATCTCCCTGTAATTCCACACACACATTTGAGCTGAGCTCTGCTCATTCTCCTACCACGGTTTATGCTGCCTGTTGAAATGTGACTTGCCATTATATAATTTCAGCTGCTTCTTTATGTTGATTTATTACCAAATCCAAACACAATATCAGTGCATCTTTTGATGTGATGGAAGCAATTATCCCACAGCTTCCACCCGCATCACAGTCAAGTATATACATCCATATACATATATATACTTATTTCATACATGCAGATCGAGTTCAACTGCTTATTTTAATTATAAGTGCTGCTCACCAAATAAGCTGGAATGATTTAAGGCAATCTTAACCTTTAAGGAATAAATATTTATGCTTTATAGCTCTTTGAGCTCATAAAGAGCAGCCTTTGCAATAGATGGATTTGGAATACAAATAAACTCTGGATTGAGTTGAATGTCACAATGCAATATCAGCTTCTGGTCTGAACTGAACATAACCTGGGCTGGAATTACACTCCAGTATGAAGCCACACTCTGAGCGTTTTACGATTAAATTTAGGCAAATTTTACTCTAAAACAATCCTGTGGAGTGGGAGGGAGGATAAAAGTGCTCTTCCCTATGAAGTTTTGGATTATTGCAGAGTCAGGGAGGCCTGACGAGCAAACCAAGTGTTCAGAGAACATCTGCCCCTTTTTGAGATTATTTCAGCGCATTTTCCTGCATTTTACAAACACAGAGCAATCCACATCTCCTTACACTGCAAGGACACCACAAGGACAAGGGAGGACAAAGGCACAGGAGTGGAAGGTTCAGAAAGCTGAAGATCCTCTTGCAAGTGAAACAGTGCCCTTATTTGCACCCCGATGAGAGAGTGTTCAATGGCACGTGGGATGATGGAACGCAGAGGGGAGAGCGGGGGTGCTGGAGGCTCCGTGGCTGGACTGGAACCCTCAACCCTCCTGCAGAGGGTTCAGGGTCTCCACAGATCCCCCCTCAGCTGCTGGTCCCCATGGCCACACTGTCCAGCCCCACCTCAGCCACGGTTGGGCATCACCAGGGGTGGAGCAGAAGGATCACACCGGGCACAGCTCCATCCCCAGAGCTGCTCCCCCAGCTCAGCAGATACTTCCCCATGGAGAGTGGGGGGCCCAGCCAAGGGGCTGCCCAGGCACCTGCAGCCCCAGGGAATGTTCCCTCTTGTCCTGTCCCTTGTTCCCTGAGAGAAGAGCCTGACCCCCACCAAAGCTTCATTTCAAGTAGTTCTAGAGAGTGACATGGTCACCCCTGAGCCTTCTCCAGGCAACAGCCTCTGGCTGCTCCCAGCTAGTCCCACCAAACCACAGCACAACCATGAGGCTCCACACAGGCACCAGCCACCCATTCAGGGGGGGATCAGGATTCAGCACCAGCGATTGCCCAGCCTGAGCCACCATCCTGCTCAGCAGTGAGAAAAAAGCCACGGTTTTTCAAATACCCCTAATCACCCCTGTTCCAATCACCTTTTCCATCTTTTCTCTCCTTTATGACATAGTTTGTATTTCCCTGCAGTTGCACTTTTGATGAGATATTGGGAAGAAATCCTTCCCTGTGAGGGTGGTGAGGCCCTGGCACAGGTTGCCCAGAGAAGCTGTGGCTGCCCCATCCCTGGAAGTGTCTAAGGCCAGGTTGGACGGGGCTTGGAGCAACCTGGGCTAGTGGAAAGTGTCCCTGCCCATGGCAAGGGAGTAGAATGAGATGGGCTTTAAGATCCCTTCAAACCCAAACCATTCTGGGATTCTGTGACCCTATTTTAACCACCAAATTACAAAACTGCATTTAAGAAAAGCATTCCAGTGTGAAGGAATCTCACCCAAATGCCTGGAAACTGCTGGAAGGAACAGAAATTTGAGGAGCAGATGAGTGAAGCCATGAAGTAATTAATTCCTGAGCAGCAGGTAATGAGCATGTCTGGGTTGCAGGGCAGGCACTCACCAGCTTCATCCCATACCTGGAAGAAGCTGCTCTGTTATGTAGGAACAGCCACCACAACATGGAGACAGGGAAAGGTGAGAGGAGAAGGGGTGACCAGAGATAGGGAAAGGGGTGACCAGACACAGAGAAAGGTGAGGGGAAAGGGGGTTCCATGCTCAAGGCAGCACCTCCATCCCTGCTCACTCCAGTGTCTGACCCGTTCTCCAAACCCCCCTCACTGTTGCTGGCACTGAGCTCAAGGCGCTAAGTCCTCTGAGAGGGATCTGATCCCAGGCACTCCCCCAGCCCATGTGAGAAATGCCTGTAATCTCCAGCTCTGCATGGGGAGCTCCAGAAGGCGACGCTGGGAATGAAAATCCAACATGTGATACTACAGAGAAACCACGTCTCGCTTTAAAAATCATGGCCAGCATTTCATACTTAGCTCTGCTGCCTCTCTAATGCCTCCTGGGGGACTTGGACTTGAACTGAGACAAAGAAACAGGTAGAGTTCAAACACCTTGGAAGAGAAGGGAATAACCTTAAGAACTGTGTGACCAGGACGAAGCAGGTCAGGCAAAAGCATCAGCACGAAGCTCCTGCCCGATAGAAACCAAGCCCAGCAGAGAAATCCAGCCTTCCTGCTGCTGAGGATGGGCCTGGGCAGAAGAGACCGGGATGCAGGATGGTTTGGCGAGAAGGAATCAGAATAAATCTG